ATTCACCTTCCAAAAGTCTCATACTTTGAACACAGGAAGCTTTTGGGGGCTATTTTAAATCCCAAGTTGGGGGAAGCTGATAGTAAGATCATGTATGGGTGGGGATAAGGAGTATATGAAAACTATGTACTTTCTGCTTGATTTTTTTTTAGCAGAATATATTTATTGAGAGAAAGAAAGCTTCTGTCTGAGGGAGAGAGACAGAAGCAGTCCTGAGTGGGTTTCTCCTCTGCTTGATTTTGTTGTGAAACTAAAACTGTTCTAAAAAGTCTATTAAAAACATACCTAAGATCTGAGGCCTTCTATTTTACTAAGGTCTGCATTCTTTACTACGGCCTGAAGAGCATGACATGATGAGGTCTTTGCTCACTTCTTCCTCGAAGAAGTCTCTTGATTCTAGGGCAACCAAAGCCTTCCTTTTGCCAGGTCTTGCTTTCTGTTTGTGACATGGATGATTTCTTATCTTTAAGCTTCCATTTGTATGTCATTTATTCAGAATTCTTTCTTTGTGTGTGTGTGTGTGTGTGTGTGTGTGTGTGTGTGTGTATTTTTTGTTTTTATCAGTACCAGGGATGGAACTCACGACTGCCTGCTAGCAAGGCAGGCGCTTATGCCGCTGAGCTAAATCCCCAGCCCCAGAATTCTTTCTTGATAATACAACCTAAAGTCCATCATCTTTGTTGTATTTTTTTTTTGTCTTTTTCCTTTTTATCGGTACCAGGGATCGAACTCACGACTGCCTGCTTGCAAGGCAGGCGCTTATGCCGCTGAGCTAAATCCCCAGCCCCTCTTTGTTGTATTTTTATTATGTCTATTTTCACTTATCCCACTGTAGGCATGTGTTCTTGTGATAGTTAATTTTAGGTGTCAGCCTTGCTTGACTAAGGAATCCTGGAGAGCTGGTGAAGTATTGCTTCAGGGTGTCTCTGTGAAGGTGTTTCCAGGGGAGACTGGGTGAGACTGAGCAAGGAAGATCCAGATCCATTTGTGAGAGGCTCTGTCTTGGTTATTATTTTCTCATTGTTGAGAAAAAATACCTGATACCCAAAATTAGGGCAGGAAAGGCTTATTTCTTACAATTTTGGAGATTCATACTCAGCTGGCTCCACGGTAGGGTGGCATGGTGGGGCCACCCTTTATGGCCCCCACAAAACTGCAAGAACAAATTTTGCAGAAAAGGAAAGACACCTTCTTCTTGCCCTTTCACTGTATGCCAGCTCCTCTCTGGGTCAGGGCAACATTCACATCACCAATCCCAGAACTAGACAACAAACCAATCACAAACACCACATCCATGTTTGCATGATTGCATGATTGCATGAGGCATGGGGGGGGATATCTGAATATATACCATAACAGGCACTATCCACTAATCTAAGGCTGGGGTAGAACAAAAAACCAGAGGAAAGTTGAGTTTTCTCTCTTTTGAAATCAGAACATCTTCCTCCTCCCCTTGGCCATCAGAACTTGATGTTCTCTGGCCTTTGGAGTTTGAAACTCACACCCAGCAGCCCCTGATCTGTCAAGTTTCTCCACTTGGACTAAGAAGCACAACATCACCTTCCCTGGACTAAGGCTTTGCAGCTTGGACTAAGCCATGATACCAGCATCCTTTCTAAGCTTACGGATAGATAGTTGTGGGACTGCTCAATTTCCAGGTTCCATGATCCAATTTTCCTAATAAATCCCCTCTCATATTTCTCTACTTATAGCTACATATATCCTATTGGTTCTATCTTTCTGAAGAACTCCAATACATTGGAATAGATATTTTATGACACAGACCTTTTCCCCACCAAACTATAAACACCCAACACAGAGCAAGTGCCACTGTAAATGTTTGCTAAATAAAATAGGGATGATATCTGTCCTATTCATAGCAGTACTGCAAAGCCTAGCAGTATGCATAATACATAGCAGGCACCTATTGAGGACACACATTATGACTTGAAACCCTTGTCATTTTAGTTTCTTAAAGGTCTGAGAAGCAGCTTCCAGAAATGATGAACAGCTAGACCAGTCTGCCTGCCTGACTCCCAGACCAGACCATCTGCCCAACATCTGAGTCCCCTCCAGTGCTCTGAGAACATGTGCCTTCCCTGGAGGAAAGAACTCCAGGCTCCCTCCCTGTGTGGTGAAAGAGGGGCTCTTGTTCTTCACTCCAATGTATTTACTGAGGGAGGGGATTCCTCCTGCACCATGGCTGGAGTGGAAGGAGGGTAGGGGGATGAGACTTCCTGTATGAAGCACAGGTCTGGCGAACACTACCCTGCACAGGTGCAGTAGATTCATACAATTAGGCCACATTGGTGAGTCCTGACAGTGAGTGGCAGAGAACAGGGATTGTGGAGATCATGGTCTCTGACCATGGTGCATTTACTTCAGAAACCAGTAAGAGAATATATGGGAAGTCCCATAATTTTGGAAATTTAAAGACACTTTCAAACAATTCAGTGATCAAAGAAGAATTATAATGGAATGAGAAAATACATGAAATAAAACGAGAAAAACATCAGTTCATATGAAAAGTTGAAGGAGTCACTCAAGACTTACTGAGCATCCCTTGTGCTCCTGCCATTGTCTCAAGTTCTGGAAGAACTCCAGGAACGAAGTGAGGTCTGGGCCTTACTAGAACTCAATCCCCAGTCAGCTCATGGAGCTGAGCATAATAATTTGTAGGTGAGGCCTCTAGTATCATGAGCCCAGGGATGCTATGGAAAACAGACAAGCAGGAGGGGAGGGAGGTGGGGTGGAAAGGGATTTGGGATTCATCAGGCACTTTGAAGGGGAGGATGAAGGGAAATAATGAAAAGAAGTCCTAGTCTTGCTCTTAGAGGCCTGGGCATATATTACCTAGTCAAAGTTATCTTTTCAATGTACACAATGAACAGCATGACCTGTTTAGTTAAAGAATAGCATGGTTTATGATTGATGCCCATTATGTCTTTGTGGAAAAACTGTTCAAGGCACAATTTCAACACTGTCCACAGGAAAGCACTGCAACACCAGGAAAGAGTTAAGACTTCCTTTCTTACACCATTAGTTGCCTGCAGAGCACAAGAGCTGCAAGGGAAGGGCAACAGTGCCAGCTGGTGCTGGGACAGAAAATGATCAGCTTGAGATCTCCACACATAAGTGCAAAGAGCACCTTGTGGCTTTGCCAGGTGGCACCATCATCAGAGCTTCGGGGCCCACTGTCCATCTCTGCTCTGCAGGGTGAGATCCAAGTTGGGGTCTCTCCAGCAAGATGGGACCCAGCTCTCAGTAAGACCTCTATCCTAGGCTTTAGGAGCAGATAAATACTTGGCTCAGCTCTACCAACCAGTGGTTTCAGTAATGGGAATGAAATGAGGTTTTCAATGTATATAACCTACATTCTAGTGAGATAAGCAAGCAAACACCTGAGGTCACATTAGGTAAGACTAAGTGGAATGTAGAAAGCAAATCAAAGGGAAGACATAAGGAGTGACTTGGCTTTACTGCAGACGGTGACCAGAAAGTCTTCTGAAAAGAATATTTAAGCTGACAGTCAAAAGCCAGCAGGCACGGTCTGTGAGCAGAGTCTGGGAGCTGGGGAAAGAGCCTGTGTGGAGTCCCAGACAGTCACAGTGCCAGGACCAGGGGGAGACCTAGCTCCATGGCTGGAAACGCTTTCAGTGGCTTAGGTTGGATTCTGAGTGTGATGAGATGCTCCAGGAGTTTTAGTCAGGGCAGTAACATAATCTCTCTAATGCTCTCAACACAGGTACAGAAAGAAAGGGGACTGGCTAGGATGATTGTAGTAAATCTAGTGAGAGAGGACATGTTTTACAGGAAGAGTTTGGAACTGGCTATTGATAAGCTTGAAAGAAAGAAACTCAACAATGACCCGTAGGTATATGACTGGAATTTCTACAACCAACTCTGACTGGTTTTTTTGTGGTTGCTCTGTTGGACACACGGCACATACATTTTTACTAAGTCCTCACAAGATCTCTTTTCTTTTCTTTCTTTTTTTTTTTTTGTCTTTTTCCTTTTTATCAGTACCAGGGATCGAACTCATGACTGCCTGCTTGCAAGGCAGGCGCTTATGCCGCTGAGCTAAATCCCCAGCCCCAAGATCCCTTTTCATAGATCCAAAAACAAAGGCACAGATTAAGTCAGGTAAGGTGGCTATGGGGCACTTTTGTGGTGTTGGGGTCCCAACACCTTTGTTCCCCTACTGCTCTACCCTGGCACCTGAGGACCTGATAGGAGTGTGGGACGCTTCCTTGAGGTGAAGAACAAGAGGTGGACAATGGAGTTAGAAGCCCCTCCATGGAGCACCTTCTGCAGGAGTTGACTAGTTACCTACTACCCACCCTATGCTGCTAGTGCCAGGTGTGGGATGTGGACGAGGGGGCTCCACAGGGCCTTGTCCCCTAAGTGCCACTGTGGGCTGAGGCAAGCAGGTGGACAGGGAGCTGGAGAGGCAAGGTGCTACAGGAGCAGTTTTAGAAGGAAGCTTCCTCTGCCTTGATATCCAAAGTTGATGGCATAGGAGGCAAAAAGCAGGGCCTCAGGCTGTGAACCAAGGTGACAGGAGTATACTTCCTACTGGCCTCTACTCTGCATCCTGTCAGTAAAGTTGCTTGTTGGCTTTAAATATCTATTTCTGCTCTGCTACTTAGTAGAGTACAATCTCACTATTCTTGGTCTTTTAAGAATTTATTTCTCTAAAGAAAAGGGTAACTAAAATTCTACAAAATACATTCAGAGAATACTGGGACTCTCCCACAGAGCATGAATTCCCGACTGGATTGTCAAGAATGTATTTTAAGGATAAAACTCTACTAAATGACCTCTGCCAGAAGTCCAGCCAGCCAGAGGCTCCTGGAGAGCAGCCATCTGCTTCTCTTGCTCCACAGCCTGAAGTCCCTGCAGGTGGAAGCACCTGGGCCAGCAGGCTGCCTGGCACAAAGTGTACCCCAACCCACCCTGTGCCGACGCCAAGTAAGTCCCAAAGGACATGGGATCCTTACCACAGCCTCCGACGTGGATGGGTGCCGCTGTGTCCCTGGCCTGGGAAGGGTCTTCCTGGGATTCAACAGGTGCAGCTTCAGCTTGCCAAAGAGGATCTCCAAAACCAGCAATGCACACATGTGAGAAAGCACCCAGGGGAGCAGCAAACGCATCACTATGGTTAAGGCCACCACACAGAGACGCAGATGGTATAAAGCACAGTCTCATTTGTATTTTCTTGGATTTAAAGGCTTTGAAATAATGAATCTCAATCTAGGCAATCCCTTTCCCTTGTGAGAGAATGTCAAACAATTTACATATTTTTTAGATGATCAACATAACATAATATTTGTAAATTCAGAATAAATCTCCCTTTTAACTCTTGAATAAAAAAATGTATTTTTGAAAGAACCAAAGTTTATCATTACCTTTCTAAGTTGATTATTACTCATTATAAGAAACTGTTCTCCTGCAACAAAATGGGCTTCTTGCTCCAATTCCTTGAGACGTGCCTAAATATATGATAAATACAATTAATCTCATTCATAGTTTTCACATTAAAATTATTTTATTTAATTCTTTAATTTGTTAAACAATTCTCAACAAGAGAATAGAAATGATCTATACTTTACCAAAATGGACATTTTGCCTTGGAATGGTCAGCTTCATAGAATCACCCTCCCCCAAACCCAGGGAAACAAAGTAATAATACACCAAAACTTGGGAGGTCAAATATTAGAACTAGACCAGGGATCCAGTATCACATGAAATAAGAGAGAAGGAGAGGTGGAGGTAGTAGGCTGTATCCAGAATATATCAAGATGTCCTAGAAATCAGAATAAAAATGAGCAAAAGATGGTGCAGATCCTCTGTACAAAAGAAACTCCTCATAGTCAGTGACAGTAGAAAAGCTATTTTTTATTTTGTTTTTTTGCTTTTTGAGACAACATCTTGCTGGGTAGTTCAGACTGGCCTTGAACTCACTGTGTAGCCCAGGGTGACCTTGAATTCATAGCAACCTTCCTGCCTCAGCCTCCTGCATACTAGAATTACAGATATGCACGATCCCCTGGCAGCAAAAAAGCTATTAACCACATAAGTAAGTAGGAAAAAAAAAACCCTAAACTCATGTGTGGTTTGTAGTGATCATAACCTAGCAACCTCAAAACGCCTCTAGAGCAGGCAGACACCACTGGATGTAGTCCACAGCTTCAAGCACCACACAGCAATGGCAGTGGTGCAGTTACAGGGGGTTGAGGGAAAAGTCACCCACCAAGTACTGACTGACTTACAGATCAAAAGCAAGCAAACCATCAGGCTGGCATGGATGTGGAAACCAATAAAGCAAAGCAACAACCAAACAGATGACTACAAAGGCAGGGTGGTGGCCACTTCCGGCAGCAGGAAAGGGGCTCTGTACAACCCATAGTCTGGCCCAGGAGCTGTTACACAAGTTTCCTATGAAATAATTCAGGTGGAACATTTTTACATATTTCCCACGCATCTTTCTCTATTTTTATTTTTCAGAAACCCAAGAATTCCTTCACTAAACTCTAGGGGGTGATGTCCTTGCAAGAAAAAGCCAACTTTTGAGAAAGAGCCTGAGATCCATTAAAGAATCTCCCGCACACTCACTGGATTCAGTGCTGCCCCCACACATGACAGACACAGTGTAGTTTAAGCCCTTTAGTGCTTAGTTCTCCCCTTAGGATCACAGACGGGTGGAGGAGGGAGACAGGGTCAGCATCAGACTGGGGGTAAGAGGACAGGGGAAAGCACAGTCTACTAAGACAGAGTCTAAAAGGTCAGCTCACCCCAAGAAGCACTGACATCCTCTCCATCTCTTCTCTGTTCACCTGAATCTTGTTGTTTTCCATCACTGTGATTCAAAATCAGTTCAAACATATTTGTGTTGCCTAAGTGAATTCTTTCTGATAAAGACGAGAGAGCCTCATCTGACGAGGACACAGTGACAGCAACTGCTGCACTCAGCACAGGGCCTGGCAGCATCCCCCTGTGAGGTCAGGATCCAGGGACACCGACAGAACTGGCCTTTGAGGGACTCTGTCCTCCTGTGGGCCTGGCAGGACCTGGACAGGGGTAGATGCAGGAGGAAGCCTGCAAGGTGACGACAGGAGGGTTTCCAGAACTTCTCTGGCCAAGCAGAGGGCAGCAAGCCAGGATCAGAGACAATGGCCAGCATGTAAGCGCCCAGCATGTAAGCGCCCAGCAAGGCTCTTTGCATGGCAAACAGATAAGGGGTCCCCTCTGACCAAAGATCAGAACTTGCACATCCTTCCACATCAGGAGGTGACACGGCCCAATCCCTCTTGTTTCAGAAAGGAAAATAAAGGGCTGGCATTTTTGGAAAGTCCAAGAGAAATAGTCCTTATTGCTAAATGAGCTGCAAACAACATGATTTGTCTGCAAACAACATGAAGAATTCTCTAGTAAAATGACTCACTTTGTCTTTATGGTAACTTACCTGCTAAAACTGGGACCAGAGGAAGCTCCAAAGTACAAAATAGTTGCCATAAACCATTAGCCTGTTCCATAAGAAGAAATACATCTTTAAACTAGAAATCAAATCTGCATTTGGTTGAAAAGTTACTTGTCTCTGTTAAGCTAGAACTGAGGCAACTCCTGTTGGGGCAAGTTTCGTCCCCACATCTACTCCCCTCCCTGTTCTTCCTAATAAAATTTCTGTTTCTGTTACATATCCTGCTTTATCATTGAGACTTGGTAGAGGGAATTAATTTGAAAATGTCAGACCAGCCAAGCCCCATTCCAAACCTTCTCCCCAGTGCTGAGGACTGAACCCAGGCCGTCCCACTGAGCTGCAGCCCCAGTCCTTTTAATTTTTGAGGCAGGTTCTTGCTAAGTCATTAAGTTGCCCAAGCTGGGCTCAAACCTAGAATCCTCCTGCCTGAGCCTCCTGCCACCATGCCCCACTCCATATCCTTTATTTATTTATTTATTTATGGGGGGGGGCATCAGGACCTTGTGCTTGCCAGGCAAGCGCTTTGCTGCTGAGGTAAAGCCCCAGCCCTTTCTATATCCCCTTTCAAAAACTTTGTGTTATGATAGGGTCTCATTAAATTCCAAGATTAGGTTTGAATTGTGACCTCCTGCCTTAGGCTTCCAACTAGCTAGGATTACAAGTATGCACAGCACTCTAATGTTTAAGATGAAGTTCTTGCAGGCTTTATTTTAATTTCAGAACGGGCTTACTGAATTTCATAATGTACTCAGACTATGTGATATTTACGCTGAGCCACCTGCTCTATGAGCACGAAGTCCTCCCCTTTATTCACCTCCCCTTTCATGTTCTTTACTGGAGAATTTGTTCTTTCTACTGCTACCTGAGCCCCTCTCTCTCCAGGCCTCACCTGGGCTTTTCTGCCAGCCTCTGCAGATCAAGTCTCTGCCTTCCTCTGTGATCCAGAGTGGGTGGCCCCCCAGCCCCAGCTCTGCTCTGTCCCTTGGAAGCTTCCCTTTCTGATCCCCAGCACGAGACTGAAGGCAGAAGGAGAAACAGCTGGCCGTGGAGCCTGGAGTAGAGATGCCCCATTGCTACCACCCCAGGCCTCTCTCTCTTGCCAGAGCCTGCTCCTCACTCTCACCCCTGGATACATTCCTTTTCTTCTGCCCCTCAGCTGTCCCTTCCAGTGGCTTTGGCCTCCCAGTAAGACAGTAAGTGAGGCAAGCTGAGCCCATTTTGTTACTAAACAAAAGAAACAGTCTGCTTCTGCCTGAGCTGCAGCATCCAAAACATCCCAGGCAAAGTGAAGGAATAGAAACAGTTACGATTATTTCCTACCAGAGAAACCATTCTAAAAGCCAGGGTCTTACCATTTAGTCTGTTCTGAGTGGGGCCCTACAACAAATGTGTCACTTCCTTCACCCTCACCTGGGAGTGTGAGCATGAGTGAAAAGTAAAACTTTTTGCATAACCAGAATTCAGAAAAAAATGTCTTGCCTTCAGCTTGGAACACAGATCCATCGTAAGTCTGTAGAGTATATTCAGGTTCACACGTACATTCTGATTCTTTAAAAGAGCAAAGGTAAAATTCAGACAACCTTAGCACTGCTCATCACAGTCCGGGAGATGACACAACTGCCAAGTGTTCCCAGTGAGCCCCGGGAGCGCCTGATTGCAGTCAGTGACTCATCGCTTCAGGCAGACAAGGCCTCATCTACAGAGAGACCTCCACCTCCACCACGCAGGCACAGCACAAGCTGTGCACAGCAGACGTTCTCATCACTCAGGGTTTTCCTCATTTCACAGACTGAAGAATGGAAACACAATGGGGCTGAATGCTGGGACAGTGGTTAAACAGTGACAGAGTGAAAACACAGAGCAGTTTCTCAGGTCCCAGACTTCAATCACACAGAATGGCTGCCACATCCTACGCTCACTCATTCATTCCCACTCTAGCACAGATGCCCACCGGGGCCTTGGAGAGACCCTAAAAGGATGTGACTAACCAGCAGAGAGGCAATTAGAGGTAGCCCCTTGACACACAGTCTACCCTTGCTTAGCATCTGCTCTTCTGCACCCCCAGAGCCTTGGTCACTCAGGCTGAGCATCTGTGGGAGGCCTCAGAGTGAACCGAAGGGCCAGCAGCTGGCTGTACACACCCAGATATGACTCCTGTTGTTTGCTGGCCTGGGCTCTCCTGTGAATGACCCATCAGAAGACACTAGGTAGACTGTTTCCAGCTGTCACCTGGCAGAATTCCACAGTGCAGCCTGTCGGGCCTTTCTCGGTTCCAAAACAGCCATGCATTTCCATTCCTAGAGCCCTGGGATGGGACAGGCCAGCTCCTAGATGGGCGCAGCCTCATGAAAGCCCTCATTCCTCCTTCCCAAGCTGCCCTGCATCTCTTCTCTGGGTGGCCTTGTACTTCCTGTGCCACTCTCTCTCCAAGTGTTCCTCTTTTCTCCTGAGCAACTCAACCCATCTTTCTCCATATTGGGAAGAAAATGCATGGAAATGAGGGAAAGAAACAAAGTCAGAAACCCACACTGAACCATGCCATTCACGTGACCTTGGGTGACGTGAGTGCACATAATCTTGAATGCATTTCCTCACTGGAAAATGGACTGGTAATACCAAAGTAGGTGACTCGTTTCTTCAGCAATGATATCCCAGCTTCCTCTGGGAAGGTGACTCCCTGCCTGAGCTCAGTAGGAGTAGGAGCACTTACCACAGGACCTGCCCTTCCCTGCTAGAGTGGACACTGGATCACAAGGGAAAGGAGTCACTCTCCAAGAACTATACTGTGACTCTGGCTCAATACTGGCACTGAGGCACTGGCCCTGCCCTGGGTTCCCAGGCCTACAGGCTCTTGATCTTTTGAAGCCTGCTTCTAATTTTTCTCCAGTCTTAGAGCTGCCCTAGACCTTCTGATGAGTATCTTTGTAAACCAAAAGAGCCTGTTTCTATTACAATAGCCCACCCCCACACAGGGGTCAGGAGATGAAGGGCAGAGCGCCAATCCCAGCTCTGCCCCCAGCTGAGCTCTTCCTCAAGCTCCCTCTATACTCCATGGTTCACCAGCAGCACATCTGGCACACAGTGTCTTTGCCAGCTGGTTGAGGTGGAGGCTGAAGAAAGTCACCTGGTAGGTCCTACCATTCTCCCCATGGGCTGAGGTGGCTTCCCAGGAGTGTGGCCACAGCGAACACCTCAGCAGCACTACAGGTTTATAGAGCAATCAACTTTGACAGCAGAGAATCCACTCAGAAGAACCCCACTGCAAGTGAGACTTTTCAGCAACAGAAGGTAGGAAATCTCCCATTTTATCCACCATCCCCCAGCAGAAATTGCAAGGTCAAAGTATTTGCATGGAGCAAGGGAAAAGGAAGGTTAATATTAGCTGTGAAATAGAGAAGTTTCTAGAAAAAAGTTAGGGTTGTATTACAGTGGATAAACCAGATCTTAAAATGACTTACCACACAGTTTCTTGAGGAATTTCCACATGTGCTGCTCACTTTGACTGTACTGGACTTTTCATGGTGTTTTGCCACTAAGTCCTCAAAAGAAGGTACAGCGTCACTGGGATCTATGAGCCATGCAGCAATTCTGGGGTCTAATCCTACAAAATTAGCAACTGAAGAAGAAAAGGTCACTTAATATTCCCCCCAGAACTAATAAGCGTTCCTCAAGCTTGCCTCAACAAGGTTGTTAAAGAGCAAATGAACAACACTATTATCATTGCCTTCAGCTCTCAGAGCTAAGTACCCACAAGACTCCATTATTTCTCAATGGAGCCACATTCAAGAAGTAGACAGCTCAGTGGCACAGTGCCTGCCTGGCAAGCACAAAGCTGTGAGTTCAATTTCCAGCACAAAAAAAAAAAAAAAAAAAAAAAAAAGTGGGGGCTGGGGATTTAGCTCAGCGGCATAAGCGCCTGCCTTGCAAGCAGGCAGTCGTGAGTTCGATCCCTGGTACCGATAAAAAACGAAAAAGACCAAAAAAAAAAAAAAAAAAAAAAAAAGTGGATCCCAAACAGCAAGGAAGGATGGGATGCTAACCTTGGAATTTGGATCTCCCAGTATCATGTTCCAAGAGGCCACAGTCAGAATCTCAGGCCTGATTCTTGCCTCTTTTTCCCTCCCCACCCTTGTGCTTTCTGCTCTCAGGCTTCCCAGTCACTGTGAGCTATACATCCTCCTTCCATACTGTCCCCTCTGCTGGCCTCTCATGGCTCTGCACTGTGGTGCCAGGATCTCTGGCTTCCTGAGTCAAGGAAGAGAGACAGAAGTGTCCTTGTCACTGTGTGGGGAGGGTGGACAGTATGTGCTAGGCAGAGAGGGAAGTTCCCCAATGTGAAAAAAAACCCATGAGAGAACTAAGATTATACTGTGTGCACTACAATGCTGTGAAAAGAATCTGGGCCCAGAGGTTGCCTCAGCCCTTCCATGTCATTTCCTCAACTGCAACCAAGGGGAAGGTTACTGTAAATATCTGAGAGACATGTGTGAAGATGCTCTAAAAAGAAGAAGAAGAGGAGGAGGAAGAGGAAGAAGAAGAAGATGACTTTGCTAAGTAGGTAAGTTTTAGTACTGGTCTTTAAAATACTTTATTTATTTATTTACTTTCTGAGACATGTAGTTCAAACTGGCCTTGAACTCACAGCAATCTTCTTGCCTCAGCCTCCCAAGTACTGAGATTATAAGTGTGCACCAACATACCCAGCTTAGATAATTTAATATTTTAAAGTAATATTTTAGGGCCACAGATTTAGCTCAGTGGTGTAAGTGCTTGCTTGGCAAGTACAAGGTCGTGAGTGTAATCCCTAATACCAAAATAAATAAATAAATAAATATTTTAAACTAATTAAATATTTTAATATTTTAAAGTAATATTTGAAACTGAGGAGTTTAGAAAACACTGTAGAATAGTATGGCCAGATTTTAAAATTGCTAATATAGACCACTAAGATCCTTAAACAAAAATGAACAGAAATGAGTTTGCTTTTCAATTAAATTACATTACATATTACGTTTTCCAGTACCTTTAAGTCATCCTAGCATAAGAAGCTTACATTTACCAACACAGTCAGTGTCATAACTTTTTCCTTTGATGTCCAAGACACTTTGCAGATGGGAGCCAACAGTCATCTGTCTGCTTGCCTCCTAGTCAGCAACACATGACTTTACTTGGCACTGCCCCACAGGTATTTCACTCCACTTCCACACCTCTGATTAATGTTTCAGAGTTAAAGGTGCCTATTGACAAGCATGTCCGAAGTCCTAGTGAGGCCTGACAGACCTGGAGTGGTCTGGGCCCAGTCTCGTAAACTCCCTTTCACCACTGACAAAGCACAGCCTGACAGGACAAATCCCTTCAGTAGAGAGAAACACTGGTAGTTGAAAAATAAATGCCAGCAAAACATATTTAAAGTAAGCTAAGAAAAACTAAATCAGAACTAGAAATGCTTAGAAATTAAGTGACCTAGAAAAAGAAAACTTACACAAAGAAATGACAGAATCCAGGAACGAGAAATAAAAAGATTTCAGAAATAAAAATTGGAGTAGCAAGACACAGAAGCAAATACATATAATTGATGCCTTGAAAAAAAGAAGATGGAAAAGAGAAAAAAAATTAAAAGAATGAAGAGCTTAAAGATGAATTCTAGATAAGTGATAAATATGAAATATGGGCAACAAAATTCAATATATGAAATAGGAATTCAAAGGAAAAACTAATGCTGTATAAACACTGCAGTTCAAGTTCACTTTAAACTACACAGTGAAGGACACAGATAATCAACATTGAATATGGTAGATCTAGAGCTCAGTGGAATAGCACTGGGAGTCAGAAATCAATCCATATCTCAGGGGTCAGCTACTTTTCAACAAAGATACTAAGAAGCCAGACTTTGTAATGGGGTTAACTGTGTCCCCTAAAAGATATGTTACCTAAAGTTGTGACCTTATTTGATATGTCTTTGCAGATGTAATTACAGAACTTTTTGAGATCACCTTGGATGGGGGAGGGAGCCTAAATCCAATGATGGGTGTACTTAAAAGGGACAGAAAAGGAGAAGCCACACAGAGACACAGGGAAAGCGGAGGTGGAGGTGAAGACAGACCCTGAACTACTAACCATCACTGGAACTTGGGAGGACATGATGGGATGGGTCCTCCCTCAGGTTCCAGAAGGAACAGCCCTGCCAATGTTTTGATTTCACTTTTCTGGTCCTAGAACTGTGAAAAAATAAATGTTGTTTTAAACATCCAGACCTAGTCTCAAAAAAAAGGACAACAGCTGGAGATTTAGCTCTGTGGCATAAGTGACTGCCTGGCAAGCATGAGGTCATGAGTTCAATCCCTGGTGCCAAAAAAAAAAAAAAAGGACAACAGAAAACCCCAATTGATAGTAAGGTGTTAAAGCAGCCCTAGGAAAATAGACTACTAGGCTTCTATCATAAGGACTCACTTCGTAACTCATCACAGATTGTGTACCATTGACCATTATTAAATAAATGCTTCCAACAAAATGGAGGAAAAAGCCAGGCTTTTAGGAGGCTGAGACAGGAGAATCACTGCAAGTTGAAGAAGGCTAGCCTCAGTTACATAGCAAGTTCAAGGCCAGCTTGTGAGATTCTGTCTAAAAAAAAAAAAAAAAAAAGGAAACTTTCATCCATTGTGATAATGTGATGACAATATGAAAAAAGGAGACACTATAGTACAACCACAATGGAGGTACCTCGAAAAACTAAAGGTAGATCTGCCATATATTGTAGCTATTTTACTTTGAGTATATCTCCAGAGCAAAAGATAACCACATATCACACACCTGCATGTTCATGTTCACTGCAACACTGTTCATGGTTGCTAAGATATGGATTCAACCTAATAGCCTACATGCCCATCTTCAGATGAAAAGACAACAGGGTATTCTTTAGCCGTGAAAAAGAATGATATCTGATCCTTTGCAACAGAATGTATAGAACTAGAGGACATAAGTGAAATACGTCAAAAGCAAAGAAAACGCTGCATGTCTTCTCTCATATGTGGATACCAAAAAAATGTTCTGAATGCAAAAGACACAGCAATTACTAAATGTTGGAAGGGGTGAAAAGGAAGGCAGATAACTGTGGCACCATTAAGGAACCTAAACAATGACAATCAATTACTTCTAACATTGCAAAAAAAGGTATGCAAATAAAAACAGCTACAGGATTAGTGTGGAAGTTCAAATACCAGCTTGGCAGCTAGTCATGAAGAGATCGCTGCAGCCTCTTGGGAATGATGGCATAACTTTAAGCAGGAATCTGTATTTCAGTCCCACAATTGAAATATTTTGAGATGAATTATCCAATGCTGGTAATTTTCAGGGTTTGGAGTGTGGGGAGTCATAGAGGAAAAAGGTTACGGGTTGACCATTATTGGATAGGGTAATAGGGGCTTTTGAGTCTGTGCAGAAATTTTTCATAATAAAAGTTTTTTTCTGCTATTTTATTATGAAGATTTCCAAACATACAGACAATTTAAAAAGAATTGTAGGGTAAACACTGAGTAATCACTACTTAGATTCTACAGTGAATATTTTTGCTACATTTATTTTATCACTTATCTACTTACTTAGTAAAAAAGGTTATAAAAAATCTTTTCTGCTATTTTAAATGAAAGATAAAATGTGTCTGACATTGTTTTGGTGTTAACTGCTTTGGACTATAGTTTAATTCTTAGAAAGGTTTACTTTTGTGATAACAACAAATCCCAGCCTGACTCTGCAGAAGTTATTTTTTTCCTACTTTAAGTTACCAAAGGATATATACTAGTGAGAGCTCCATGTTACTTAGCTCCAAAGGGGAAAGGGGCCCCTGTGCCTATGGCAGATGCAGAGACAAATATGTCAGTGTGGGTGTGGTCAGGTAACTGGTGACCTTCATCCTCCCACCCCACAGGTGCCACTGTTGAAGAGTTAAACAGCAAAAACAATGTAAATGTAACTAACTTACCATGCCTCCAACTGCTATCATCACCAAAAAACTGCAGTACTGTTTTCACAAATTCCTTGGCGTTAAAACAAATAACAGGGCATTTACATGTCAGTGTCTGAAATAGCACATTCCTAGAAGATGGAAAGAAATTCACTGATTTGAACATTAATTCAAAACTTCTGACCTTGGAAAAATATTACTAATACTCTACTAAAAGCTATCACTATCTATTTCTTAACTGCGTTTTGTAGAGGATGAAATAGAGACACAGAGCTAAGTCATGTCCCAGGGGCCGCAGTGAGGTCTGAATTGCAACAGAAAGCACACATACTCCAGACACTGGGCCCCAAGGCAGAACCCCACCTGCGATCCTAGAGCCCCTCCAACACGCTACCTTTCTGCCAAGCTGCATGCTTTCCTCTACCACTGGACTGTGCTATTTCCCCTCTGGCTCCTGGGCCACAGCACTTGCTCATTCTTGACTGCAGTCCTCCTCTCACAACTCTGCAAGCTGCTCAGGTGGTAGCCTCAGGAGGGAGCGGGCTTCTTGTGTCTGCTGTACTCCAGTCACATAGTGAACACAGACGGACCTACACCTGCTGGACTGTATCCCATGTGCTTCTTGAATATAGGACTCATAACAGTTCATGTCTATCAAATGCTTACCATGTTCCAGGACCACACCAACATCTCATGAGGGTTGTGCACTGAAACTCCCTCTCAACCCTATGCATTCTGTCCTTGTCACAGGGGAGGGACCTTAGTGCCAACACAGGTCTCTGGGACCAGAGCTTAAACTATAAGCCACCAAGCATAAATCCCTTGCATAGTAAATGCTTATGAATACATTAGTGAGGTTCTTGGGATAAGGCTGAGAAAGGAAGAAACCAGGAGTCTAATGAGCTCCATCATGAAGTAAATGTACAGTGGGACTTCTATGTTTTATTCCAGAGAGAGAGATATTTTCAGGCTTTTTCCAAGTTATATGACTTCTTGGGTTTCTTTAAACAGGGAGCCCACGCAGGGAGAGCAGGAAGTGTCAGTAGCTCAACCTCTGGTCCTGGCTTGCACAGATCACAAAGGGGACAGAAAGGAAAGAGGATTAGGACCACTGGGAGAAGGTGCCTGTAGCCCCTGCAGTGCTGAGTGAGGCATCTGATAGTCACTACAGGGCCTTCCACTGGGGAGCACAGCTGGCCAGAGCACAGGTGCCTTGATAAGACAAAAGAGGATCTTATAAGATGAAAAGGCTAAAACAGAAGGTACTTGAAGAGCCAACTGGGCAAGTCAGTTATGTCACATTTACAAAACAGAAAGCCAACAATAATATTTTTTAAAAATTAGATAGGGGTGAGGATATAGGTCAGTGGTGTGCTCAGCAGATGCAATTCCGAGTACTGCAAAAAATAAAAATAAAAACGAAAAAGCTAATTTGGTCCAAAAAACAAAAAACTTGAGTCAAAACTCACAAGACTACTATATAGCTTTAACTATTTCTCTGAGTCTCAGTTTCCTCATTAAACAATGGAATGAATAAAGTCAAATATATGAAGATGATATAAAAATGAAAGATACGGAGTATAAAAGAACCTTGCATATATTGCTAATAAATGTTATTAAGTATGTTTTTACAAAAATTACGTATGTGTTAATTAAATGTGTCTTATATAAATTCATTTTGAATATCAAAGACACTATTACAGAAGTAGGATTATTGCTACAATTTTATTGTAGTTGAGGTAGCTGCAGCTGTTGTTGCAGCTCATCGGGGTAATGGCCTACCCTGTGGAAGCAGCCAAGTGGATGAGAGTAGGACAGAGTCCAGTAATTTCTTGAAGTCGAGGCAATAGGGGGTCACTAAGAATTTGGATATGGTTCATGGAAAAACCAAAGCCAAGGATAGTACCAAGCCTTCTGGCCTGTGACCACAGGGGGCTGGTACTGATGTGAACCCTCTCAGCCAGGCTGTTGAAGGAGCAATAGGGAAGATGGGCTCAGGACACACGAGCCTGACAGAACATGAGATGTTCAAGTAGAGAACGTGAGTAGCATATATAAACTGGAAACTCAGGCAAGGCCTCTGAATACTAGGACTCTAGTCTCACAAAGGTGCTCCAGAGGACAGACCTGACTAATTGTACTTTACAAAGAAAATTATACACAAAGTAAGTTAAAGATACATTGGTCCTCTGCTTTCCAGAAATTACCTAAAAATCACCCAGAGCCCAATCAGGGGACTACTTTAGTAACCACACACTCTTGATTCAGCCACCTCTGAAAAGTCCTACCTGCGACTCCATAAGGCTTTGGGGCAACACCTAGACACAAGCCATAATAGGGTCACACTGCATCCATATTGCACTTCACAGACATACAGCTCTGAAGCTGCTACTACTTGGTGAATGAGAGGACAGCTATTTGCAGCCAGTGATGGCTAATTTTCTCATAATGTGAGCAAGGGAAAAAGAGGGCTGAGAAGTCATCCAGACCCTGGAAATTATGATGGATTTTCAGTGATAGTGGGAAGTGATGGGGGAGGGAGCTTGACTTCCCCAGATTCTCACTGTGAAGTGATTCAAACCCTGAGTAGGCTCCCAAAGAATTGATAGGCCTCATTTCAAAAGCTCTGAGAAGAGGAGCCAGTTTTACAGAGGTTTCTGTCATTTAGATCCACTTTGTTTTCATTTTTCCAGAAGAAATTTCTAAAGCCTAAATAATTAAAACTGCAGCTTAGGGGCTGGGGATTTAGCTCAGTGGCGTAAGCGCTTCCCTGGTAACTGCAAGGTCATGAGTCTGATTCCTGGTACCAAAAAAAAAAAAAAGGAAGGAAGAAAACCTGCAGCTTAGAAAACTATGTTAGGATGAAGCAGGATATAACAGAAGATAATTAGTGAAGGTTTCCTACCTGGCAAATAGCCTATGTGCTTCTTGTTCACGGCCCCAGAGACAGGTGCGCTCCATGTGTATGTAGATGCACCAGTCCTCCTGCCCAGATTCTCCTGCCAGACCACCAGCACAGGCCAGACCATCCAGAAGACCACTGCCTGCCTCCACGTGACTCTTCAGTAACATCACCACCCCTTTCACACAGGAAGTCAGGGCCTGTGACTATAAAAAAAAGTTCCAAAATTAAACACAGACAAAAATGTCTATTTGAGCAAGATATGTTACTGTGTAATTAATCAGGTTGAGAGAGAAAAGGTCTAAATTTATAATTTATACTTGTAAATGAATCGTCAAAAGGCCAAAAACTGAACCACGATTTTACTATCCAAATCTGGTCTCTACTATTCAATATCCTCATGAAAGTCTTAGTCAATACAATATGACAAGAAAAGAAAATAATAGGAATTTAGTTCAAAGAAGAAGAATTACATTGTCCCTATTGCTAAATGACTTCAATAACTATATTGGATACACAAATGAATCTTTTTTTAAATTTTTGGAACTAAAATGGGAATGTGGCAAAGTTTTAGGATACAAGATCAAAATATGAAAATAAAAAACCAAATGTATTTCTATATACTGACAAAAATACATGAAATGAAAATTTTTAATTGCCATTTTGGAAGGATACCAGGAATTGAACTCAAGACTTTGTGCTTGCCAAGCAGATGCTTTGCTGCTGAGCTAAATCCTTGGCCCTTAATTGCTTTATTGTAACTCAGAAAAAATGAAAAAGGCAAGATGCCAACAAAACATGTATAAAATACAGTACAATGAAAGAAATCGGAGATCTAAATAACCAAGGTATACCATATTCAAAGATTGGAAAATTCAATTAAATAAATATGATTCACTCCTCCCAGAGTTAACCAGGAAGATCAATAAATCTTAGGTACAAGAAACATGAAGAAAGCTACCCCAGAAAATTATCTCATAATCAAATTGCTTAAGCTTAGCTGGACACAGTGACCCATTTTATAATTTTATGGAGGGTGAGGAAGGGGGATTTCAAGTTCAAATCCAGCCTGGGCTATGTGCAGAGTTTAAGACTTCTCAAAAACAAATGCACAAAAACTGCTTAAATCAGTAATAAAGAAAAAAAAAACCTTAATAGAAGTTGATCATAGAGGTGGACTACAGAGAGAGAGAACAAGGCCACACCAGGAAGCAAGCCTGGTCTGGGAACCAGCACCATTTGTGGGCTGCCAATGGAATGACAATAGCCAGACCCCAGCCCCTTCAAGTGAACGGACTGGCAAACAAGAGGCACCAATCTCCCCTCCTCCCTCATAAACGACTGGCTTATCCAGAGAAACACAGACTATGATGACGGCTATCAAGGTGAAATGCAATTGGATGCCTATAGTGCTTTGGTGTTACATTGACATTGTAGGTCTAGGGCCAGTGGTCTGATCATGGGTTCAGAGGAAAGTAGTATGCAGTATGGTATCTAGGGGAGATCTCCTTCTAAGGGTTGTAACCATTGTTGATTCCCTATGGTCTTATTTTGAAGTCCTGTATCATTTCCATTGTTTTGTTGGGTTGGGTTTTATTCTCTTTTGTTTTGTTTGATTATGTTGAATCCAATGGCAGGAGCGGCTATTTCAAAGATAGCAAGATATATATATATATATATATATATATATATATATATATATATATATATTGTTTGTTTGGGGGGTTTTTTGGTTTTTTTTTTTTTTTTTTTTTGGTCTTTTTGAGACAGGGTCTCGCTATGCAGTTCAGGCTGGCCTTGAGCTCACTTTGTAGCCCAGGCTGGTCTCGAACTCACAACGATCCTCCTGCCTCAGCCTCCTGAGTGCTGAGATTACAGGCATGAGCCACCACACTCAGCTGATAGCAAGATATATTATGATAGCAATTTTGGATTTTCTATTGGTTTGTTTGGAAGTCCTTTATTGCATTTATTATCTTGTTTTTATTCTATCCTATTCTGTTTGATTTTTACTATGTTATCTGCAGCTATTTTGAAGACATCAAAGGCATTATGGTAACTATTGTTGATTTTGTAATGTTTTGAAGTCCTGTATCACTTACCCTGGTTTGTTTTGATTGGTTTTATTGTTTTATCCTCTTTAAAATAAAATTTAAATTTTTTTTAAAAAGAAGTTGATCATAGACAGAAACAAAAATAGGAATGATAACAGATTTCTTGTGGGGGAAATAAAGGAAGTTAGAAGACAGTGGCATGACATGTTTAAACTGCTAAAAGAAAAAAATGAACATTCTTTAGCCAGCAAAGTGTCTTTCAGAATTGAAAAGCTGGGCATGTGTGTATCTTTATAGTCTTGGGTACTCAGGAAGCTAAGGCAAAATTGCTTGAACCCAGGAGCTTGAGACCAGCTTAGACAACACAGAGAGACAAGGAAGAAAATAAGGAAGGAAGGAAGGAAAAAAAGAAAAAATGAAAGAAGAAATGACTTGCATGTTACACTGAAAACCACAATACACTGCTAAATAAAACTAAGGTTTTCAATAAATGAAGATATCACATCAGAAAACTCAATATGATTAAGATGGAAAGACTCTAAAATTTAATCTATAGTTACAACACAATTTGAATCAAAATGCCAGCTGGTTGCTTGAAGAAACTGGCAAACTAATTTTAATATTTATATGGAAATTCCAAACAACAATAACACCCAAAGCAATCTTGAAAATGATGAACCAAGTTGGAGGAGTCATGTTTCTTGAGGGCAAAACTTAACTACAAAGCGTCGGTAATCAAGAAACATGGTGCTGGCATAAAATAGAAACAAAGATTAAGGGAATGAATTCAGTATCCAGAAATATATCTTTACATTACAATTTACATTTACAAAAAGTACTAAAAAGGGGACTAGGGATTTAGCTCAGCGGCATAAGCACCTGCCTTGCAAGCAGGCAGTCATGAGTTGGATCCCCGGTACCGATAAAAAGGAAAAAAAAAAAAAAAAAGTACTAAAAAGAAAAAGAGGATTCTTTTCAATGAACAGTACTAGGACAACTAACTGGATGGCCACATACAAAAACAAGTTTCTGCCCTGACCTCATGCCCTGTATAAAATGTAACTTAAGGTGGGTCACCTATCTAAATGAAAGAGCTAAAACTATTTAAAAAAAAAAACATTAAAAAAAACCCCATGCAATGGTACATGCCTATAATCCTGGCACTCTAGGAGGCCAATGCAGGAGGATCACAATCCTGGGAACCTAGCTTGAGAAACTCAGCAACTTAGTGAGACTAGGTCCCAAGATAAAAAATATAAAAAAGCTGGGGATGAAGCTCAGTACAAAAGCCCTAGGTTCAAACTCCAGTACCATAAAAATGAAACAATAGTAAAGCTTCATGTCCTGGGATAGACAAAGAATTCTTGAATATAACAAAAGCACACGCAACAAAAATTTTTAAGAACTAGAGTTCATTAGATTTAAAACATTTTGTTCCTCAAAAGGCACTATCAAGAAACTTAAAAAAAAAAAACAAGACATAGATTGGGTAATTTACAAATTGTATATCTTACGAAGAACTTGAATCAGAATATATAAAGAACTCTTTTAAGTCCAAAATAAAACACAAATAAGCCAATTTTAAAAGGACAAAAGGAAAGGGGAATGAAGGGGGTGGAAAGGAAAAGAAAAAATGAGAAAAGAAAGGATAAAACGGAAACAAAACTTTGTGAATAAGGAGGGGAAAGACAGCTTGAAAAGAGGGGAGGGGAGTAGGAAAAAATGAGGAACTAAGAAGTATCATGTCCAGGAACAAATTCCCTATGATAAATGTGATCACTGTGCATATATAAATTGTACAAATAAACTTAATTATTAAAAAATTGAATTTTGCCAAAGATGACAGATGAATGACTAACAAGTACACAAAACTATGTGCAATGTGATAATTATTAGGTTAATGTAATTTAAAAGCACATGAAATACCACTTTACATATTGGCTAAAAAAATTTTTTTTTTTTGTCTTTTTCATTTTTATCAGTACCAGGGATCGAACTCACGACTGCCTGCTTGCAAGGCAGGTGCTTATGCCGCTGAGCTAAACCCCCAGCCCCCATATTGGCTAAAATTAAAAGAAAAAACAAATATATGCAATGAGGTGGAGAATGTGAAGCCCTGGTACATTACTGCATTACTGGTGGAATAAATATAAACTGGCACACAACCTCTAGAAGCCAGTTTTACAGTGACCTAAAAATCTGAGAGGAACTTTACATCATCACTGACTCATCACTGAGAGGAAGAAAAGGCCTTAAAACATATTCTAGGCTGTGGATATAGCTTAGTGGTAGAGTACTTACCTTGCATGCACAAGGGTTCAATCTCTAGCACCAAAACAAAACAAAAAAAAATCAACTTATTCTAGCTCTGCTATCAAAAACAGACTAAGAAAAGAAGATTCTTTTACAGATTCCCAAACAGCAAAAGCCACTATTATCTACTAACCTGGTCAGCTCCTAGCTGGGTGGAGCCATCCTTATACATCAGGGTCAATACCAGGGCTGCTGCCTGCTTGAGTGCTTCTGTCAGCTGGCCTTTTGCCAAATCATCCAAATACCTAATGTCGCAAAAGTGTCCTGAGGACCCAGAGATTAGGTGGGTTTCAACTTTGTTAGCATCCTCTTCCAGTGCCATGTGTTTACTTGTTTTCTCTGATGAATTACCATATGTAACATGTTTTCTTTTAATTTTCATGCCTTCCTTATTTTCCTTGTTTATAGTTCCTTCTAGGAAATACTTTCTCTTATTCTTTGTTTTCTGTAAACCAGAAACCTCTTGATTATACTGCAGGATCAAACCACTGGAAAGAGGCCAAGAGCTTATGCTCTTTTGCTGTTGATCAGCAGGCAGTTGTCCTGTTAGCTTGGCCCTGGAGGACTGAGAAGAGGGCCTGATAGAACCTCTTGATGCTTGACTAATTAAAGATTTAGGATTCTGCAGAAAAAGTAGAAACAATTTCATTGAAATATAGATTCACAGACAGACCTGCAGACCAAACAATTTCTGACAAAATTTGTATAAGAGAAAGAAAGGACATAGGCTTCATATTATTTATGTCTATACTATTTCCTCCCTTTTTGTAACTAGGGAAGGGCCTTGCACAGTCTATGCAAGTACTCTACCCATCTAGACCAGACTTATGACCATACTTTCTGGTGAAACTATAGTGTCTTCTAGAACAGTGACTTTTCTCTACTAAGGAAAGTGTGCACATCTGAGACCCTGCACAGGCAGGAGCTCAAAATGCCTCTATTGGCCCCTGTTCTGGGAAGCAGTCAGGTTACAGGAGGATGCGGTACCTGTGCATAACAGTGAGGATTAATAATTTACTACTGAACTTAGGGCACTGGGAAACCAAGCACCCAGCTCGCCTCCCTGGTAAGCAGCTATGGTGTGGCAGGCTGTGGCCCCCACAGTGAGAGAACCACCACCATTTCCTGAGATCCACACCATGTTGGATGTTAGGGTGCTGGGAAACCAAGCAATCAGCCCACCTCCCTGCTAAGCGGTAGTGAGCCTACCAGCGCACAGGCTGAGAATCAAGCATCCCACCCCCGCCCCACCCCTGTTAGCAAATGGGAGCCAAAGATCTGAGCATCTCTTGGAAGACTGACCATATGCAATATAGCAAATAAGGGAGATTTCCTTCTACCATCTCTTTGAAGGCAAATATTTTTACCACTGTTTTGCTTTATTCTGATTAATGGTATTGCTCTATTCAATATTCTGTTTTGATAAGTTCTATAATATTCTGTATTTTATTTTATTTTGCTATACTTGATTGAAAGAACTATTGTGTAGATAATGAGATATACTATGGTACCTATTACTGTTATCCCAGTAAGTGCTGTGAAGTTCTGTACCAATTTCACCACATTGTCTAAATTGGCTTTGTTCTGTCTTGTTCTGTTGTATTTTACTACCTTCAAAATAACAAAAAAATTTTTAAAAATTTACCACTGGCAAGTAAAGGCCACTCATAGAGAAAATGAGATCACCAAAACTATTTGAAAATGTTAATCTATTACTAAATTTAAAAAAAACAGCTCAGCAGTGATCTTCTTTCTCCTTCTAGCAATGTGCAACATTTACTGATAGATCCATGAACTAAACAACCAATGCAGAAAAAGCATCCTTATGTATGTCATCATAAGATTCACTTATGATAACACTTCATTTTTAACAACTGTGTATTCATATTGTTTTAAAAATAATTTTGAAGAAAATACTTCAACACTAGGTCATGTCATAGAAATTTTTAAATTTATATTCATTTTTATTGCAGAAAAGTGTGGCTTTCAAGAACAGACTTTTGAGCACAAAATTATATTAATTAAAAATTCTGTGGAGGAATATTACATGAAAAGAAGTTCAATGAGAAAAAGAAAAAAGACTTCAGTCTGTTGAGAATCATGTTCATGTATTTTTAAAGGGATGATTACGAATATGAAGTTGCTAAAGTAGTTTTAATCATAGTGGGTATATCCCTGGTTAGCGGTGGTGGTGTGGCAGACAGCTGCCCTTCCAGGGGGAGATCCAGCAGCAGCTCCTGAGATCTGTGCCATGTTGGAACTGAGGACACTGGGAAGCCAAGTAAGCACCTCCCCTCCCTGGTAAGCAGTGGCAGTCTGGCAGACAGCAGCCCTTCCAAGGGGAGAACCAGCAGCAGCTCCAGAGATCCACACCATGTTGGAACTTAGGACACTGGCAAGCCAAGCAAGCACCTCCCCTCCCTGATAAGCGGTGGTGGTGGGGCAGACTGCAGCCCTTCCAGGGGCAGAACCAGCAGTGTCTCCTGAGATCCCTGCCATGTTGGAACTTAGGATGCTGGGAAGCCAAGCAAGCACCTCCCCTCCCTGGTAAGCAGTGGCAGTGTGGCAGACTGCGGCCCTTCCAGGGGGAGAACCAGCAGCATCTCCTGAGAATCGCACTGCGTTGGAACTTAGGATGCTGTGAAACCAAACAACCAGCCTGCCTCCCTGTTAAGCAATAGTGAACCTACTGATGCATGGCCTATAGTCAAATATCCCACTTCCCCTATCCCCCTTCTCCTCTCCCCGCCCCCGCCCCCTGTTAGCAAATGGGAACCAGAAATCTGAGCGTCTCCTGGGAGGTTGACCATAGCAAATAAGGGGGACTTCCTTCTACCATCTCTTTGAAGGCAAATATTTTTATTACTGTTTTGCTCTTTTCTGATTAATGGTACTGCTCTATTCAATATTCTGTTTTGATAAGTTCTATAGTGTTCTATATTTCATCTCATTTTGATATATGTGATTGAAAGAACAACTATTATAAAGATAACAAAATATACTGTGATACCTATTACTGTTATCCCGGTAACCTGCTGTGAAGTTCTGTACCAATTTCACTGTACGATCTTAGTTGGCTTTATTCTGTCTTGTTCTGTTGTATACTTTCAAAAAAAGAATCATAGTGGATATATTTCAAATGTGTGACAGTTCTTAAAATATCAGTATTAACAAGATACCAGAAAGCATGTCCTTTGTAACTTTTAAAACCTGTTATATTTTAAACAACTTTAAGGTATGTCAGGCTGGGGATTTAGCTCAGCAGCATAAATGCCTGCCTCGCAAGTGCATAGTCATGAGTTCAATCCCTGGTACCAATATATATATATATCAGAAAGTACATGGCTTTTCAAAATTCCAGGGTCAAATAAATAAACATCCTAGCAACCTTAGTGTTAAGTCCTATCGTCACATCTATATTCTGCTAGAGGGAATTTAAGTTTGAATTAAGTTATGACAGAACCTGAGCATAAGTAGTTCTCTCTAGAATTCATTCACTTAACCACTAGGCTGCACCCTAGTGAACCAGGGTTTCACACATAAGGTCTTTAGTGACAGGACTTCTTTCCTTTCTAGGCCGAACTGTTTAACTTGTCCCCTGTGGACTTTGTAGTCCTGTCTTGCTGAACTTCTGCTTATTGCTATTACTGCAAAGTTCCCTCAACCTGAGCATCCCTCTTTAGTGGCCCCCGACCCCGCCATTCTCTAAAAGTGGGATTCTCAGGCTGGCTAACTCCTAGTCAGCCACTGGATCTCAACTCATACAATTTCCATATATCACAAAGACACCCCAAACTGCAGTCCCCACCCCCCAGACAGGCACACTGGAACCACACACGGGTGGGTTAGATGTCCCTCCTTTGCTGCCTAGTCCTCCTGTCCCAGGACTTAGCACAGATCCAGGGGAGATCTACTGTGTTTGTCTCCTTTTTCTCTCATCCTAATGACATTGGTGTGTGCTCTTGAGAACAAGCAATTCTATGCACACAGACCAGCACATTACCCACATCTGCAATGACTTACCCTTTCTTCCAGTGATTGATCTTTCCTATCTTCAAGTAGCACTGGGTACTTAACATTGCATTTGTTGGTCACTTCTACAGCTTTAGAAACAACAAAAAAGAAATATAAAACATTAAAGAAAGATTAGAATACAAATCATACAATTAGCTAAACACTGAAAATAGCTGGTATAGGGGCTGGGGATTTAGCTCAGCGGCATAAGCGCCTGCCTTGCAAGCAGGCAGTCATGAGTTCGATCCCTGGTACCGATAAAAAAACGAAAAAGACAAAAAAATATATATAACACTTGAAAATAGCTGGTATAATCGTTATTTACATATATTTTTCTTAAAATAAATTTTACTGGGGCTGGGAGTTTAGCTCAGCGGCATAAGCGCCTGCCTTGAAAGCAGGCAGTTGTGAGTTCGATCCCTGGTACTGATAAAAAAGGAAAAAGACAAAAAATAAATAAATAAATAATTAAATTTTACTACAATAAAATTCACAATCACGATACACATTACCATTGCAATAAATAGTCATTTAAAATATTTTCAAGTCTAACTGGAAATAGATCTATATATGAAATGTGTATTAAAAATAATTGCTTGGAATTTGCATTTGCATGCTTGATTTTGAAACCCAAAGTCAACATTTTATAGAAACTTTTCAAGTTTAAAGGTTTGAGGGTCTGTCTGTCTGTCTCTCTTTTCTTTCTTTCTGGTGCTACAGATAAAATCTGGTATGCAGCACATACTAAGCAAGTGCTCTGCCTCTAAGCTCAACTGCCAGATGCACTGAGGAAATTCTTAAACTCAATTAATACTGCAGTGAAGCAGCAAGTCAGTCAAACACTATTAAATAAACATCTAACTTAGATTTTGTTTTAATTTTAATAAGCCTAGACTGAATGTAAGTGGTAGAACAAAGATTCAACTCAAGACAACACAATTTGGATATCTATGTGCTTTGTTTGCTTGTTTCTGCTTTGTTTTGTCTGGGTACTGTGGATTGAACCAGGGCTTTCCTACCGAGCAACATCCCCAGTCCTTTTTTTCTTTTAAGACAGCATCTTGTTACCTTGAAAGTGCATGTGAAAAACTAAATATCTGAAGACAGATATAACAAATGCTGACAAGGCTCCAAGAAAAAAGGAACCCTTCTACGTTGTTGGTGGGAATGTAAACTGTTATAACTAATACAGAAATCAGTGTGGAGATTCCTCAAGAAACTAAAACTAGAAATTCCATTTGACCCCACTCTTCCCCTTCTAAGTATCTTCCTGAAAGAGCTAAAGCCATCATATTATGCTGATCCCTAAATACCCATGTTATAGCAGCACAATTAAAACAGCTAAGTCTTGGAAGAAGTCTACATGTCCATCAACAGATGATAAAGAAAATATGGTATCTACACAAAATGGGGTACTACTCTGCCATGAAGAAAGATAAATTTGAGTTATCTGTAAAAAACTGGATGTACTTGCACACCATAATGTTAAATGAAATAAATCAGACACACAAGTTTAAATATCATATGATTTCTCTCATATGAAAAATTCATATTATAAATAAAGAATAAAATAAAAATATAGGTAATAGGAAATAGGGATATAGAACTTTCTCACATGGGAAGGAGATCAAGAGATGGAGTCGGAGGGTAGAGAGAAGGTATGAAAACGGGAATTAAAGGCATGTTATGTACATGTATTGATTCCACACAAGGGATGTAAATATTAGTTACTGCAAAAATGCACCCATGAGAAAATAAAAAGCAGATAAATAAGAAATATAAAATTAAAAAATACAAGATTTACCTTGCCAGATTATCAGGACACACATAAGGCTACTGTAGTCAAATCTACATGGTATATGAATAGCAACAGATGAAAAGACCTCCAGAACAGAATATGCAATCAGAAACTGATCCCAGAACTTATGATAACTTCATAAATAACAAATTCACTAGAAAACAATAGATTGATAGAGCAGATACAACTACATCCAAAAGAAAATCATGCATTTGGCTATTTAAAACAGAAATGACAATGACACAGGGCTAATTTCTAAATTATACAACAAGCTCTTACATACTTTTAAAGTTTTTAAAATTATTTTGAAGTTAGTAAAATACAACATAACAAGACAAACAAAGCCAATTTAGACAGTATAATGAAAATGGTACAGAACTTCACAGCAGGTTACTGGGATAACAGCAATAGGTACCACAGTATTTCTCGTTATCCTCACAATAGTTGTTCTTTCAGTCAGGTATAGCAAAATAAAATGAAATACAAAACACTATAAAAATGATCAAAACAGAATATTGAATAGAGCAATACCATTAATCAGAATAAAGCAAAACAGTGGTAAAAATATTTGCCTTCAAAGAGATGGTAGAAGAAAACCTCCCTTATTTGCTATATTGCATATGGTCAGTCTTCCAAGAGATGCTCAGATCTTTGGCTCCCATTTGCTAACAGGGGTGGGGCGGGGGTGGGATGCTTGATTCTCAGCCTGTGCGCTGGTAGGCTCACTACCGCTTAGCAGGGAGGTGAGCTGATTGCTTGGTTTCCCAGCACCCTAACATCCAACATGGTGTGGATCTCAGGAAATGGTGGTGGTTCTCTCACTGTGGGGGCCACAGCCTGCCACATCACAGTCTTACATATTGACAAGAAAAAACAAATAACAGAAAATAAACAAAGGATAGGAAAGCAATACATAAAACAGTAAACCCCAATAACAAACATAACACAGAAACTCACTAGTAGTCAAGGAAATGCAAACTAAAACCATTGTCCACATAAGGACAGTTCAGTTCAGCTCATACACAACAATGGTCCTTGTATCTCTTGGGGACATCAGAGCCATCCTAGTTTGTGCGAGCACACTTTGAGGTCCACACAATGAAGAAATCACCTAGAAAAGCACATCTCAGAGTGTGTCCCTGTCATTAAGTGACACATGACTGGAGATAAAGGGGAAAAAGGAATCTTGCGCATTGCTGGTAAAAGTATGACAACTTAACACCTTTTTGGAAACAGTCAACATTGATTGAAATTAAAAGTCCAAACATTACTGTTGGGAATGGAAAGGAGAAATGATCTGAAGTGAACATATAGTAGGCCTCTGGGAAAGCTACCATTGTTCTCTTTCCTAAGTGGAGTGCAGGCTATGAAATCTGGATGAATAAACTTAAAGATATGTGAGTTTATCTATAGGATGGGGAGGAGGAGAGAGAAAGGGATAGAGGGAGACTATAAATAAAATTCAGAGATATGAAACACATCAGTCACTTAACAGAATAATCTTATGTTAGTTATCTACTTCAAAGCAATATATGCAAGAATAAAATAGCTTTAAATCCAATATTTATGGCATTATTGCTCATATGGCAAAAGACTGAAAACAAAGTAAGTATCAATAAGAGGAAAACTGAACAACAAATAACTTGACATTCACATGGTGAACCACAGAGCCATTAAAGAAAATAACTTATAGCTGTATCCATGGACTGAACATAATGATCTCATTCTTTAAACAATGACCAGCTCTCCCCACTTATGTACATGGAAATGTTACCCAGACACCCTGGCATGAGTCAAGTCCCCTGGAAGGCTGTCTCTGCAATGGAGGTTGGCACTGGTTTGCATTTAAGGAATGGAGTCAGGCCCAGAGCAAAGAAAAAGCTGGCTAAAACGCAGTCCCTTGAGACCCTCTCTGGGTTACATAAGCCTGGCTTACATAGGGTCCCCAGGAGGTCGGACAGCTGGGCCTTTATACCCACGCACCAGCCAGTCCTTGGATTCATTGCTTTTGGGGAATGCAGTATATACCCTTGGGCACAGAAGCTTTGTGGCTGGGAAGGTCAGCAGGAGGGGCTTCCAGTACCTTCTAATGGGGAAGCTGGGTACCTGCAGCACTCACTGAAGTCCACACTACATTCCTCAGACAGTTCCTGGAGGCTCCGGTGCCCTCTTCCTTAGTAAAGGAAGTTAACAGGATTAATCACATCTTCTTGTTACTGCAGCTAGTTTCAGGTTGAAATGACATCCATCTGCCTTTACTCTCACCTAAGGTCTCCTCACTGTGGCTTACCACCTCTGCTGGTCTAGATGGCGATGGATAGAGTAATCCAAAGCCTCATTCTGAGAGATAAGGCCTGCTCACTGTGGCCAGGATGCCTGCATCTGCCATACATATGGAAAAGGAGGCAACCAATCATATCTCCTGGTTGCTATCTCACGCATGCTAGGTAGTAGCAACTGTAGCTCCTCCTACACCCATGGCCAATCACCCTGGCAGGATGGACACTGCACTCTTTGCCTGCCAGTCTCTCAGCACAAGAAGAATGATACATGCTTGAAATCTGATGGCACTTTGCCCATGCCCCTATGGAAGGGTTTCCTTCTGGGAGCCCAGCTTTCAGACCTGCAGAATGCAGAGGTGTGTGTGGGAACACACATACCCAAAGTGGTGCTGGGAGTGATAACTTCCACCTTTTGTCTTCTAGGCATGTTTAGCACATTCTGGGGACACTGCACTAGTAATGGTCATGCAACTACAGTACATCCTGCACCTTGCAGGTTGTTAGCCCCCCTCTGCAAAGTGCCATCTCTAAGCTGTGCCTCCACAGACCATTCTGCTGCTCAGATGGCACTGAGTATGTGGCTATAAGGGAGCAGTGGGAGGCCCTGTGTGTGCCACTGCTATGTGTCTACTATGGCAGCCCTTGGCTCTGTGTGGATCCTGCGCCAGTTAAGTGCACTAGGAACATTGAGGTATGGAGCCAACAAGGTGGTGCAGATGGGAAAGGTGAATCCACACCTAGAACGTGTGTCAATTTAATCAAAATGGATCATCCTGGAACTGAGGGTAGTGGGGACACCTGTAGTCCTAGCTATTAGGGAGGCTGAAGTGGGAGGATCTCTTGAGTGCATGAGTTCAAGACCTGATTTTGAAAGTAAAAAAGGGTGTATTTTGGGACATAATGGTTCAGTATTGCCAATTTGCTACTGAAACATGGTAACCCTTGGCGTTTGATCTCTATTGGAAGTTTGGATGTTTAGCAGAGAAAATATATTGGCTCTTGTGAGCAG